CCCCCACACAGTGGCCAAGTGTTGTCTCAGTACAGACTATACAGAAGTAAGCACTATTAAAATTTACTTGTTCCATACCCTAAACTTAGACAATTTTTTAAAAAAAATATTGGCCAGGCATGGTGGCTCCTACGTGTAATCCCAGCACTTTGGGAGGCTGAGGCAGGAGGATTGCTTTAGCCTAGGGGTTCAAGACCAGCCTGGACAACACAGTGAGACCTTGAGTTTACAAACTATTAAAAAACAATACCCCAGCATGGTGGCGTGCACCTGTACTACTCAGGAGGCCAAGGTGGGAGGATTGCTTGAGCCCAGGGAGTTGAGGCTGCAGTGAGCTGAGATCACACCACTGCACTCCAGCCCAGGTGACAGTGTGAGAAAAAAGTCTGGCCTGGCACCAAGGCTTACACCTGTAATCCCAGTTCTTTGGAAAGATTGCTTGAGCCCAGGAGTTCAAGACCAGTCTGAGCAACATGGTGAAACCCCAAATTAAAAAATTATCTGGGCATGGTGGTGTAAACCTGTAGTCCTAGCTACTTGGGAGGCTGAGGCAGGAGGATCGCTTGAGCCCAGGAGTTCAAGGCTACAGTGAATTATGATCATGCCACTGCACTGTAGCCTGGGCAGCAGAGCAAAACCCTGTCTCTAGAAAACTCTGCAGCAATCCCTCCTCCACCCCAACTCACACACTTTTTTTTTCTTTTCTTGGAATATAACATGTTCTGAGAAAAGCACGCTGTTTAGGAGTTTAGCCAACATCTATATCGAGACATTGAATTTTACTAGCATGCCAGAGACTCCTCTCCCAAAAGGAACACTACTAGACTTTTTTCTTTTCTTCTTTCTTTTCCTTAATTTTTTTTTAGTTGTTTTAGAGACAGGGTATTGCCACATTGCCCAGATGGGAGAGCAGTGGCTCTTCACGGGTGTGGTCATAGCACACTGCAGCCTCCAACTCTTAGCCTCAAGTGATCCTACCCCTGCCGAGTCTCCTGAGTAGCTATAGTGTAGCACCTGACGTTTAAACTATAGATGAGTTTTACCTATTTTTGAACTTTCTTTTTTGGAGACAAAGTCTCTCACACAGGCTGGAGTACAATGGCACAGTCTTGGCTCACTGCAACCTCCACCTCATGACTCAAGCGATCCTCTCACCTCAGCCTCCCAAGTAACTGGGACTACAGACATGCACCACCATACCTGGCTAATTTCTGTATACTTTGCAGAGATGGGATTTTACTGTGTTACACAAGCTGGTCTCAGATTCCTGGGCTCAAGTGATCCACCCACTTCAGCCTGCTAAAGTGCTGGGATTACAGGCATGAGCTACTGCACTCAGCCTTGAACTTTATATGAAGTGTAACCATATACTCTTTGCCTGGCTTCGTTTAACTTATGAGGTTCACCCATATAGTTCCAGATTGAAAGAGTTCATTCAGGCCGGGCACGGTTGCTCAGGCCTGTACTCCCATCACTTTGGGAGACTGGAGTGGGCAGATCATCTGAGGTCAGGAGTTCAAGACCAGCCAGTCCAACATGGAGAAACCTCGTCTATACTAAAAATACAAAAATTAGCTGGGCGTGGTGGCACATGCCTGTAATCCCAGCTACTCGGGAGCCTGAGGCAGGAGAGTCACTTGAACCCGGGAGGCAGAGGTTGCGGTGAGCCTAGGTTGCACCATTACACTCCAGCCTAGGCAAGAAGAGTGAAACTCCGTCTCAAAAAAAATAAGGCTGGCCGCGGGTGGCTCATGGCTGTAATCCCAGCACTTTGGGAGGCAGAGGTGTGCAGATCATGAGGTCAAGAGATCGTGATCATCCTGGCTAACACGGTGAAACCACGTCTCTACTAAAAATACAAAAAATTATCCAGGCATAGTGGTGCGCACCTGTAGTCCTGAGTATCCCAGCTACTCGGAAGGCCAGTGCAGAAGAATCACTTGAACCCGGGAGGCAGAGGTTGCAGTGAGCCAAGATCATGCCACTGCACTCCAGCCTAGGCGACAGCACAAGACTCTGTCTCAAAAAAAAAAAAGAGTTCATTCATTCTCTTTTTTTGTTTGTTTGTTTGTTTGTTTGTTTGTTTGTTTGTTTGTTTGAAACGGAGTCTCACGCTGTCGCCCGAGCTGGAGTGTGGTGGCACCATCTCGGCTCACTGCAGCCTCCACCTCCAGGGTTCAAGCGATTCTCCTGCCTCAGCCTCCCAAGTAACTGGGACTACAGGCGCCCACCACCACGCCCAGATAATTTTTTTGTATTTTTAGTAGAGATGGGGTTTCACTATGTTTAATAGGCTGGTCTTGACCACCTGGCCTCATGATCCTCCTGCCTCAGCATCCCAAAATGCTGAGATTACAAGCGTAAGCCACCACACCCAGCCTTCATTTATTCTTTTAACTGTATGGCCTGGCATTCTCTACTTTTTATTGAAAGCACTATTTTTGGCAAGTACTTGGGATTTTAAGGTAATTGTATATTTGGAAATTATTAGCCCTTTTAAATTATCTTGCTATATTACCTTCTTGACAAAAAATAAGTAAGGTCACATTTAAAGATTATTAGCATGGTATTCATATAATCTAGTAAATTCTTTAATGAAATACCAGATTTTGGGAGGAAATGTGTTGTGCCATTGCTGCCCTTTGCTTGCTGTCCTCTGTTGTCTTGTGTTCCTGCCCACCTGGTAATCATGTTTGAGGAGCTGAGGTAAAGACAGAAACAGGTAGGCGTAGCAGGATTATAGGACTTGAACAAGTTCAGTGGCAGGATCTCCAGGTTAGGAAAATTGAAAGTATACTGTGCCACTTCACTTCTAAAATATTGATAAAGTAATGTCTAGCTCTCAATCTGTATTTTTCATGTTTCTTTAAGAAAGAGAGGGATTCCTACCATCCTGAAATGTTCTTATGCTTAAATGCCTCTGCAGTGCAGTTAAGCCTGCCCTAAACTCTGGCATTTCCACAAGGGAGAATAGGTGTTAGCCTGTAATACCCTCTTAGCCACTGGGCTGTCATTGGATCCATTGTCTTTATATATATATATATGTATATCTTCCCTAAAGCCATCAAAGACCCACTATTTAAATTTGCAGTTTTTGTAGTGCACGCAAATTAAAACATGGCTAGAATTAATTTTTGTTAAAGGAAATTAATTTTCATACTTATTCATGTAAAAAGAATTTGCTGACCAGGTATGGTGGCTCACACCTGTAATCTCAGCGCTTTGACAGGCCAAGGCTGATGGAATCTCTTGAGCCCAGCAGTTAGAGACCAACCTGGGCAACATGGCAAAATCCTGTCTCTACCAAAATACATATATATGTGTGTGTGTGTGTGTATATATATATGTGTGTGTGTATATATATGTGTGTGTGTGTGTGTGTGTATACACAGACACATACATACATATATACACAAAATATTAGCCGGGCATAGGGGTGGTGGCACACATCTGTTTTCCCAGTACAGTTTGAATAATTTTTCTTTGCCTAAGATTTTTTTTAATTTTAAAAAAACGACTGGCAAGATAGCTTCATTTTTTTTTTTTTTTTTCTGTTCTTTTCTTTTTGGAGACATGGTCTTCATCTGTCACCCAGGCTAGAGTGCAGTGGCACAATTTTGGCTTACTGCAACCTTGGCCTCCTGGGCTCAAGCGATCCTCCCACCTCAGGCCTACCCCAGGTAGCTGGGACCACAGGCAAGCACCACCACACCTGGAAAATTTTTGTATTTTTTCGTAGAGATGGGATCTCTCTATGTTGCCCAGGCTGGTCTCGAACTCCTGGGCTCAAGTGATCCACCTGCCTCAACCTCCCAAAGTGCTGGGATTACATGTGAGAGCTGCCGCACCCAGCCAATCACCTAAATTTCCTAAAGTTATTTTAAACTAGTTACAGAATATACAAAATAAAATAGCTCTTTTTTTTCCCCTTTTACTTTATTTATTTATTTATTGAGTCAGAGTCTCGCACTGTCACCCAGGGTGGAGTGCAATGGCGCAATCTCGGCTTACTGCAACCTCCGCCTCCCACGTTCAAACAGTTCTCCTGCCTCAGCCTCCCAAGCAGCTGGGATTACAGGCTAATTTTTTTTTGTATTTTTAGTAGAGACAGGGTTTCATTATGTTGGTCAGGTGGTTTCAAACTCCTGACCTCGTGATCTGCCCGCCTCAGCCTCCCAAGGCGCAATCTCGGCTCCCTGCAACCTCTGCTTCCTGGGTTCAAGCGATTCTCCCTCCTCAGCCTCCCAAGTAGCTAGGACCACAAGCACAAGTCATCAGGCCCAGCTAATTTTGTGTTTTCAGTAGAGACAGGGTTTCACCATGTTGGCCAGGGTGGTCTCGAACTACTGAACTCAAGTGATCTGCCTCCGTCAGCCTCCCAAAGTGCTGAGGTTACAGACGTGAGCCACTGCGCCCGGCAGATGATGTATTTTTAAGCACCTCTAGAATTATTCTATATTCAACAAATGACAAGCTGTTAAAGACCAAACATCAAAGTCTTCTGTGATATTATGGTTTGGGGGTGATTTTTTTCCAAAGGAGAAAAGTACAGATGGATAATAGTGTCTATATTGAGTCTTCACAGATGGGATTCACTGAATTGTTTAAATAACTAGCTAAATTCATTTGTTTTACTGTATTACTATAAGCTTATTGTAAGTAAAGTCATGTCAAGCCTCTGATGTTATTGAAATTCCAATGTGCTAAAATACAAAGTATTTTCATTGATGGAGAACTTTTAATGAAGACAGATAAGAAAATGTTTTATTTATGCCACTTCTGCATTTTAGGAAATAAACAGCAGCACAGTAATACTTAGGTTGCCTAGTAAATTTTTGTTGAATTGAGTTTTAAAAAGGGACAAAAATGGTTATAAAAATTCCTGTTTTGCTAAGTAAAAAACTATGCGACTTTCTAAAATCTAGAAAGTTACAATTGGAGTGATAACACCGTAAAAGCACATTTTCCCCATTAAAGTAATTAACGCTTTTTGGTTTTAGGAATTGGAACGAGCATGGAGAGAATATGATAAGTTAGAATACGATGTAACTGTTACCAGGAACCAGATGCAAGAGCAGCTAGATCACCTTGGTGAAGTTCAGGTACAGAAATATAATATTCTTTATATTGTTTTAACTGTTTTTACTGGTACTGTACAATCCACCTTGTTAGATTTCTGCATACCCTTAACAGTTTTTACATTATTGGCTACCTGAGACCTGGATTTGAATACTTTTAATGACAGGAATCTTACTATCTCACAAAGTAGACCATCCCCACTTGTTTAAGAGTTCTTTGTTCTGTTGGGCACATGGTGAGCCCTGGAGTGCTCTGTGCTCCTAGCAGTCTCAGCTCTGCAGTTCCTAAAAACATGGTTTCAGATCCTTTTACAAATCCATCTGTGTCACTTGGTATTGAGATGTTGAATTATATGGATTTATCAAATAATGAATATTTATGTGTGTGTGTGTGTGTTTTGAGATGGAGTTTTGCTCTTGTCGCCCAGGCTGGAGAGCAGTGGCGCGATCTCGGCTCACTGCAACCTCTGCCTCCCGGGTTCAAGCAATTCTCCTGCCTCAGCCTCCCAAGTAGCTGGGATCACAGGCATGTACCACCAAGCCCAGCTAATTTTGTATTTCTTTTTTTTTTAGTAGAGACGGGGTTTCTCTGTGTTGGTCAGGCTGGTCTCAAACTCCTGACCTCAGGTAATCCACCTGCCTCGGCCTCCCAAAGTGCTGGGATTACAGGCTTGAGCCCCTGCGCCCAGCCAATATTTCATCTTTTTAATAAAATTATTCTAATCCTTTCTATATTAAATGTCTCTCATTTTGTGAAATTACATTTGGCCTGTTGACTTCACTGACATATTATTGGAATAGGGGAAGATACAGCACCATTTGCTATAAAGAATCTAGTTAATAAGCAAATAGATCTGACACCTAGTTCCAAGGGTTAGTTTTCTTATCTATAAAACAGAAATAATAGTACTTGGCCGGGCATGGTGGCTCACACCTATAGTCCCAGCACTTTCGGAGGCTGAGGTGGGTGGATCACCTGAGGTCAGGAGTTCGAGACCAGCCTGGCCAACATGGCGAAACCTTGTATCTACTATAAATACAAAAATTAGATGTAGTGGCAGGCATCTGCAATCCCAGCTACTTGGGAGTCTGAGGCAGGAGAATCACTTGAACCCAGGAGGTGGAGGTTGCAGTGAGCCAAGATCCCATGACTGCACTCCAGCCTGGGCAGCATAGCGAGACTCTATCTCAAAAAAAAAAAAATGAAAGAAAAAGAAATAATACTTATCTTAAAATGTTTCTCTGAGGAATGCAGATAATATATGTTTAAGAAAATAATAAAACTTACTTTATGGTTATGACCAATGTAAATTTGATCCTTTTAGTTGGAAATGCGTAGACTTAACAGACAATGAATAAAAGATTAGTTAAGTTTGAGACCAACCAGCCTGACCAACATGGCGAAACCCCATCTCTACTAAAAAATTATAAAATTAGCCAGGATGACAAGGTCAGGAGCTCAAAACTAGCCTGGCCAAGATTGTGAAACCTCATCTCTACTAAAAATACAAAATGAGCTGAGTTTGGTGGCAAGCACCTGTAATCCCAGCTACTCGGGAGGCTGAGGCAGGAGAATTGCTTGAACCTGGGAGGTGGAGGTTGCAGGGAGCTGAGATCGCACCATTGTACTCCAGCCTGGGCAACAAGGGTGAAGCTCCATCTCAAAAAAAAAAAAAAATTAATAAGGTTGAATCAGAAATTCAGCTGCCCTCTATCTGGGCTGTCCAGCGTAGTACTGGCCACAAGTAGTTGTTGGGCATATAAAATGTGACTATTGTTATTATACAACTAAAACTGAACTTTCAGTTGTTTTTATGTTAACTATCTAAATTTATTTACTTATTTATTGAGTCAGGGTTTTGTTCTGTCACCCAGGCTGGAGTGCAGTAGCATGATCCTAGGTGAAACCTTGAGCTCCTAGGTCCAAGTGATCCTCCTACCTCAGCCTTCCAAAGTGCTGGGATCATCAGCTGGGCACAATGGCTCATGCCTATAATCCCAGCACTTTGGGAGGCCGTGGTGGGAGGATCAGTTGAGGCCAGAAGTTTGAGACCAGCCTGGCCAACGCGGTGAAACCCCACCTCTACTAAAAACACAAAAATTAGCTGGGCACCTGTCATCCTGGCTACTTAAGGCTAAGGCAGGAGAATCGCTTGAACCTGGGAGGCAGAGGCTGCAGTGGAGTGGAGATCACACAACTGTATGCCAGCCTGGGCGACAACAGGAGACTCTGTCTCAAAAAAAAAAAAAAACACAAAGTGCTGGGATTACAGTCATGAGTCACCAAGCCCAGTTTATCTAAATCTAAATGGCCACGTGTGGCTGGGACTTCTGTATCGGACACTGAAGTGACACTGTCAGTAATTGGCTACGATAACCAGCTGCAGGCGCCTGTAGTCCCAGCTACTCGGGAGGCTGTGGCAGGAGAATCACCTGAACCTGGGAGGCAGAGGTTGCAGTGCTCTGAGATTGTGCCAGTGTCCAGCCTGAGCGATGGGCAAAAGTCCATCTCAAAAAAAAAAAAAAAAAAGAAATCAGCTACAAAAATGAGATACTAAATACACTAGAAAAATAGCTATAAATACCTAAGATGTAACTAGAGGTCAGCAAACTTTCTGTAAAGGTCAAATGTGTCACTGTCACATATTTAATGTTTTTGGTTTTTTTACAACTTTTTTTTTTGTTTTTTGTTTTTTTTGAGATGGAGTTTCACTCTTGTCGCCCAGGCTGGTGTGCAGTGGCGTGATCTCTGCTCACTGCAACCTCCACCTCTCGGGTTCAAGTGATTCTCCTGCCTTAGCCTTCCTAGCAGCTAGGATTACAGGCATGTGCCACCACACCTGGCTAATTTTTGTATTTTTAGGAGAGACAAGGTTTCACCATGTTAGCCAGGCTGATCTTGAACGCCTGACCTCAGGTGATCTGCCCGCCTCAGCCTCCCAAAGTGCTGGGATTACAGACATGAGCCACCGTGCCCAGCTATAACTTCTTAAAAATGTAAAATTTGTTCTTAACTCACAGGCCATACCAAAAGAGGCTGCAGGCCACAGAAATTTGCCAATCCCAGATTTAACCTACCAAAAAATATATTTATTATGAAAATTTAATAACCTTATTATAGGATATAAGAGAAGACCTGAATTAATGGAGAAGTGTAATTGGTATACCATATTCATGGATGATCTGATTTAACATCATCACAATGAAAATTCTTCCCATAAATGCAATTTTATTCCAACCAAATTTCCAGTAGAATTTTCTAAAGAAATTTCTTAAATGGTTCAAATATTTTTAAGGTATAATAAAGACCACAAGTAGTTAAAAAAATTTTTAAAAAATAAAAGAACTAAAAGTCATACTCTATGAATGGTGACATTGCATATACAGCCTTAGACCAGTTACATAACAACTCTGGGTCTCAGTTTCTGCAACTATAAAATAAACTAATACCTACTCCTACTAGGTTATTATGAGGATAAATATGTTTGTATTTTTGCAGCATGTAGAATAAAACCAAGCATATAAAGCACACTATATAAGTGTTTGTTAAATAAATAAACAAGGACACATAATGCAAAACTATAGTGTTAAACATGGTACAGGAAAAAAATAGACCAATGGAACAGAATAGAGAGTTTAACAGCAGACCATGAATATCCACAAAGCAGAGAGAGAAAGAGAGGGAATTGTTGAACAACATTCGGCTTTATCAAAGTTAAAGATTTACCCTCAATGAAGGCAACATAGACAAAGTAAAAAGATGACCTACTGGGAGGATGTATGTTTGACCTCAGAAATTCAACAAGGGATAACTATCTAGATTTGCAAGAAAGTTTTTTTTTTTTTTTTTTTGATTTGGAGAAATAGTCCATTAGAAAAAGATACAAAGAACATGAGTAACTAATCATAGGAAAACTCAAATTACTAACAAGTGTTTGAAAAATAGTTCAAAGTTGGCCAGGCACAGTGGTGTATGCCTGAAATCCCAGCACTTTGGGAGTCCAAGTCAGACAGATCACTTGAGGTCAGGAGTTCGAGATCAGCCTGGCTAACATGACAAAACCTCATCTCTACTAAAATACAAAGAAAAATAGCTGGGCATAGTGTCACACACCTGTAATTCCAGCTACTTGGGAGGCTGAGGCAGGATTGCTTGAACCTGGGAGGCAGAAGTTGCAATGAGCATATATCTTTTAAATTTTATAAAAGTAATACATGTTGTATATAGATGCGCAAGGATTTATTTATAGTGATCTTCCCATCCTCTGTGTCAGTATTTACATCTCTGGGCTGTCATTGTGTTTTGCTCTTGTATGGGTACTTTCTTTTTTTTTACTTTTTGTTGCTTCCAGGCTGTAGCTTGGAAAACTAGATAACTTAGGTTATGTAGTGCCTTTTTGAAGCAGCATTAATTCATAGTCTTTAGGCTTATAGAATTTTTTGCTTGAGTTTTTTCTTTTTCATTTTCTTTTAATTTTTTTAATGTTTTGATCAACTCCCAAGTGCTTGGAAGACTTTGAAAACATATTTCTTTTTTTTTTTGAAACGGAGTCTTGCTCTGTCGCCCAGGCTGGGTGCAGTGGCCGGATCTCGGCTCACTGCAAGCTCCGCCTCCCGGGTTCACGCCATTCTCCTGCCTCAGCCTCCCGAGTAGCTGGGACTACAGGCGCCCGCCACCTCGCCCGGCTAGTTTTTTGTATTTTTTAGTAGAGATGGGGTTTCACCGGGTACATATTTCTTTTTTTTTCCCCCCGTGACGGAGTCTCGCTCTGTCACCTAGGCTGGAGGACAGTGGCACAATCTCAGCTCATTGCAACCTCTTCCCCCAGGCCCAAGTGATTCTCTCACCTCAGCCTCCCAAGTAGCTGGGACCACAGACGTACACCACCCCGTCCAGCTAAGTTTTTGTATTTTTGGTAGAGATGGGATTTTTCTGTGTTGCCCAGGGAGGTCTTGAACTCGTGAGCTCAAGCAATCCACCCACCTCAACCTCCCAAAGTGCTGGGATTATAGATGTGAGCCACTGTGCCTGGCTGAAAACATATTTCTACCCCTTAGAGGACATTTTTTAGCATATTGATGCAATACTGATTGTATTCTATTATCTATAGTCATTAATAACTGATACTCAGTGAAAAAATACTGTTCTAGGCAATGTGACAGTTTTTGTATGTCATTGCCTATTTTTAAAAATAAAGTTACATTCCTAGAATAGTGTTTATTATTATCCAGAATGGTGTTATTATTACCCAATTTATGAATAAGAGTCATAGAATTCTAATAGAATCTCAGAGAAAACCAATGTAATCTTATTTTGGTTTCAGTTAGTTACTGTATTTAACCTGAGGGCATGATATGGAATATTAAAAGTAAGAAAATTGGCTGGGCATGGTGGTTCACGCCTGTAATCTCAGCACTTTGGGAGGCCGAGGTGAGCGGATCACCTGAGGTCAGGAGTTCGAGACCAGCCTGGTCAGCATGGTGAAACCCCGTCTCTACTAAAAATAGAAAATTAGCCGGGTGTGGTGGCGCATGTCTAATCCCAGCTACTCGGGAGACTGAGGCAGGGCAATCACTTGAACCTGGGAGGTGGAGGTTGCAGTGAGCTGAGATTGTGCCGTTGTACAGAATACAAAAATTATGGCATTCGCCTCTAATCACAGCTACTCAGGAGGCTGAGGCAGCAGAATCACTTGCGCCCAGGAGGCAGAGGCTGCAGTGAACTGAGAGCTTGCCACTGCACTCCAGCCTGGGCGACAGAGCAAGACTCCGTCTCAAAAAAAAAAAAAAAATACATTTAAACTCTCTCAGTCAAAACTCATCTTGATATATTTTGTTAGTTGTCCCTTTGTTGTTGTTTTTATGTTCTAGAACCTAGGAAGTTAGTATACCTTCCATTTCTTACCTGTTCCCCAATACCCCGCCATGTCTCCTCCTCTCAGAAATTATTTTTTCTTTTGGGGTTTCTGCTCTGTTTCCATTCTCTCTGTATTTTCCATTTTTGGTCCCTTTTAATCAATATGCCTTCCTGGGATCATAAATAATGCAAGACAAAGCTTATTGGAAAGATTTAAAATAGTATATTTAAGTATGAAAATTAAATATTTTTCTTTCTCTGCTCAGTCTTTTATATTTGCCACTGGAATTGCAAAATTGGGAGAGTCACATCAGTCATATTAAATATTCATAACACTTAATTCACTGCAATTTGCATTTTTAAAATAGAATTTATATAATTAATATATAATCATTTAACTTCAGTAAATGATTTTCTTTCTTATATGTGGTCTATCCATTTTTACTGATAGACGGAATCAGCAGGAATTCAGCGTGCACAGATTCAGAAAGAACTTTGGCGAATTCAAGATGTCATGGAAGGGCTGAGTAAACACAAGCAGCAAAGAGGTACTACAGAAATAGGTAAATTAGCTTTGCATTTTATTTTGTGACTGACCACAGTGTTACAGTCATGTGTCACTTGGTGACAGATTATGTTCTGAGAAATGCATTGTTAGGTGATTGTGTTGTGCAATCAGAGTGTACTGAAACAAACCTAGTTGTATGGCCTACTACGCACCTAGGCTATGTGGTATAGCTTATTGCTCCCAGATTGCAAACCTGCGCAGCATGTGACTGTACTGAATACTGTAGACAGTTGTAACACAATGTTATTTGTATATCCAAACAGAAAAGGTAATGTGTTATACTGTGACATGAGGGCAACAACTAGGCAATAGATATTTCTCACCTCTGGCTGGGTGCAGTGGCTCGCGCCTGTAATCCCATCATTTTGGGAGGCTGAGGTGGGCAGATCACCTGAGGTCAGGAGTTCAAGACCAGCTTGGCCAACGTGGTGAGACCCTGTCTCTACTAAAAATTAAAAAAAATTAGCCAAGCATGGTGGCGCATGCCTGTAGTCCCAAATACTCAGAAAGCTTAGATATAGGCCGGGCGTGGTGGCTCACGCCTGTAATCCCAGCACTTTGGGAGGCCGAGGCGGGCGGATCACAAGGTTAGGAGATCGAGACCATGGTGAAACCCC